CCCCCCCCCCCCCCCCCCCCCGCCAAGGTTAGACTGAGGTGGTAGCCTTGAGAGCAGGGTAACGGCTGGGGGAGGGGGTCCATGGAACCATAGGTCTCCTGGGATGCAAACCCCAGCCAGAGTCACAGTGATAATCAGGATCCCCTTCCAGGTGGAAGCCCCAGCCAGGGTCCTCAAGGCCCCCTCCCCACCGCTCTCAGGGCCCAGGGGTCTTCACAGCGCTGTCTCCTTGGACACCTTGGTCCCCAGCTGCCGGGGAGGCTTGAAGCTGAGCACTTCCTTATATGTGACACCTGGGGTGGGGCGAGGGAGACAGATCATCACGGGAGAAGGGGCCCCATCACCCTTCAGAATCAGTTCCTACAATTCACACCAAAGGCAGAAGCCAGTGACCCAGGAAGAACACTGGGCCCAGCTCACTGGTACCTGCCCTGACCAGCACTGAGTCCTGTGAGGGGCGGCTCAGGGTAGGGGTGGGAAGAGCTCCCCGGCCCTAGAGCACAGGCTGTTAGCCATTGACCTAGGGGCCCAGCCAGTTCCCAAAAACATCAGGGCCGGAGGTCATTGCTGGAGTGCAGGTGCCGCTTCATCCGAGGCTACGGCCACCCTCAGCCCACCTGTGCCCATCCACCCCGAAGGGGCTCCTGTAACCCAAACCCACTGCCCCTGGCGTGGCCAGACAGGCCCTGGCCCCGCAGCCTTCTGCAGTGAGCAGAGGCTGTCCTGGCAATGTAAATCAATGTGTCTGCTCAAGCGGAGCCACTCAGGGCCCCAGCAGGGCACACCTCGATTTCTGGATCGAGACTATCCATAGAAACTTAAACGAGGGGAATTCCCACCACCCACAGCATCTGCCTTCCTTGCCTAGTGGTCCTGTCCCCTGTCCCCAGAGCAAGCCATCCCAAAGGAAGGAGAAAGCCTGATTTGCTTCTCCTCTGGCCAGTCTGCAGCGGGACAGGTTCTGCTCAGCCTACCTCAGTTTCCATGCTCACCTGGCCAGTGGAGCACCTGTTTGGGGGACTCTGCTCCTCCAGAGCCCAGTTCAGGAAACACTGTGCATTTAGAGCAGACGATCTGTGGTTTGCCCTGCCTGTGGCATGGATGTATTCCCGCCCCCTGTGGTGCCTCCTAGGCCCTTCATCTGATCCTAACACAGGGCTCAACCCATACACGGAAGGTCTATGTGAAGCTGGCTGTTCCCAGGGAAACAGGAGGCGATGAGAGTTTGCATTCCTGACCAGGGGCTTAGCCACAAACAGGTCACGTGTTCCCCATGGTCTATAGTAAAAGTAAAATCTCTTACCACAGTCTGTGTGGGTGGGGACCACAGAGAGGAGCCTGTGGCCCGTGGTTTTCATGTTATCTTTTTTAGCAGCAGAAAACTTTCCCCAAACTGAACGAAACTTAAAAGCACAAAACAGGGGCGCCTGGGTGGCGCAGTCGGTTAAGCGTCCGACTTCAGCCAGGTCACGATCTCGCGGTCCGTGAGTTCGAGCCCCGCGTCGGGCTCTGGGCTGATGGCTCAGAGCCTGGAGCCTGTTTCCGATTCTGTGTCTCCCTCTCTCTCTGCCCCTCCCCCGTTCATGCTCTGTCTCTCTCTGTCCCAAAAATAAATAAACGTTGAAAAAAAAAAAATTTAAAAGCACAAAACAGCACAACGAAGGGCGGAGCTCTGTTGAGAGTTACAAGCACCCCATGGCTTAAGGAACGTGATTTGGGAACCACCAGTCCAGTCCCACCCTGACCCCCATGTGTAGGACCAAGGCCCTATGTCTGAGGCAGAGCCAAGATGGGGCCTAGGACACAGCGGCCACCATGTGCCACGGCCCCAACAGTGCTAACCGCTGCCCTCGGACATCCCAGCACCCTCCAGGCTGGTCCTGCAGCCACCAAGAGAAAGACACCAAGCCCAGCCCTCACTGCCTGCCATTCTGCCAAGACAGTTCCAGCACAGGGCTTCAGGACCACAGCAGAGGGAGGCCTGGGGACCTGGCAGGTGTCCCTGAGCCCAGCCTGAGGCTTAATATTTGCTGGTTGGCCCTCAGGGAGGAAGGGAAGGGCCCTTAGTGTAAGGCAACAGCCAGCCTGGCAGTACAGAGCAGTTACAGGTACATCTGAACTGCTCAGTGGGACTGGAGGAACAGGCGAGGGGTGGTGAGGGGGCTGGCTGGGGCTGGGGGTGGGGGGCTTCTGCTGTTGGCAGGACATGAGAGGTGTGAGTTGTGCAGGTGGGAGGGGTCCTGAAAAGGGCAGAGAGGCAAGGACGAGTTCAAGAGGTAAGAGTGGAGGCCTGGGGGATGAGTGGGAGCGGAGGGGCTCCAGAATGGCCAGGACATGGGGAGGAAGTGGGCAGCATTGGGCAGGGCCGGCAGGGCTGGGAGAAGCCAAGTGCTCACAACGGCCCTGAGCTGAGAGCTGCCTCCTGCAGCTCCCAGAACTCCCCTCCTGCTCTTGTTTGTGCCGAACCTCCTGCCAGGAACATTCTTTCATCCCTCAGCTCCAGCCGGAGGTCACCTTGACCTAGAAGCCCCACTGCCCTCTGAGTCTGTTGTGTTCCTCAGCTGACCTGCATCCCAGGACTCAGAGCCCATGCACAGGCCCTGCCCAGAGCCCCCCACTCACGCTTCCACTCGTCCAGCGTGCGATCCACATCGTCAAAGGACTCGTCGTACTTCTGGGCCTTGGGTTCATCCTCCGTGTCCTGCAGTGACTCGAAGTAGGGGTGTGTGAGCGCCTCGGCCGCAGTCACCCGCCGTTCTGCATCCAGTACCAGCATTTTCTCCAGGAGGTTCACAGCTGCGGGGAGAACTGGTTAGGGAGGGTCGCAGGCCCCAGCGCCCTGGTCACTGACCCCACCCCACCCCCCAGTCCAGCCCTACCCAGAGGACTTGCGTTAGTCAGGATGGAGGCAAAATCCTTCTTCTCCAACTCGGGGAGGCCCTTCATGTAGTTCTTCGCCTTTTAAGGAAGAAAGGGTAAGGGGCCAACCCACAGGCCCGGGCCCAGCCCCTCCAGCCCCCGCCCAGCTCCCCACTGACCTCGGCACTCTGCAGCCTCTGCACAAATTCATCGGGAGGAGTCCCTGTCACCTTCATGATCTCCTTCAGCTGGTCCAGGTCTGTGTTGAGATGAGGAGCACAGCACGGGGCCAGAGAGCAGGGCGCACCCCCCCACCTGGCTGGGGCAGCATGCCCAGCACCCCCCCAGACCCAGCCTACCCCCCACAAGTGTAGGATACGGTCACTGCCCTTGAACAGCGTCTTCCCTGTGATCATCTCTGCCATGATGCAGCCCGCTGACCAGATGTCCACTGAGACAGAAGCCCCTGCATCAGGGCTCTGTGGGCCAGGGAGGGGGGGCGGGGGACACAGACACGGGAGGGGGACGTGGACATAGGGGCCATCTAGCCTGCCACACCCTCGCCCCAATCCCATCCCAGGTCAGCAGCCTCCCCGTGGAGCAGCCACCGCTGGGCTTCCCATGAAGAAAGGGAAGAAGGTGGGCAAGGCCAGGGTGGCTCTGCGTCTCTGGGCATTCTCACCCGTCTGGGTGTAGTGCATCCAATTCAAGATGACCTCAGGTGCACGGTACCACCGGGTCACCACGTACCCAGTCATCTCGCTGTCGGCCTGCCTGGCCAAGCCGAAGTCCAGGATCTATAGTCAGAATCAGGAAGGTGGGGCAATACGGCCCCCAGGGAGCAGGTGGGCCAGCCTATGACCCAGGAGCACCGGGCACACCGGGGCCTCTGCCAACCCTCCAGGGCCTGAGGTCGTGGCCTCTCCATGAGTTCCTCCCCATGGCCAGTGCTGTCAGCCCCACCCGACCTTGCCTTCTCCTACCCTCAGGAGCGGGCACTCCCATGGGTCTCCTCTCCCTGCTCCTCTACTCTCCGCTGACCCCAGGACCTGGCCAGCGCTTTGCAGGGGCCCCCTCGGCCCTATGCTGGCTCAGGTATGGAGGACCGGGGACACCTCCCGCCCTTCGCCTTAATCAGGTGTGAGAGTGAGCCCACTTCGGCCCCCCATTCCCCGTGCATCAAGTGCCTCCCCAGGGCCCATCTGCCTGTCAGCTGCCAGCCATGGCCTGGATGGCTGGGGTCTGGTCCCTCTGCCTGGGCTCGAGCCAACACTCCCCCAGGCCTGAGGGCCCAGGGCTACAGGCAGATGGACAGGCGGGGAGAGACGCCCCGCCCCGCCCCCCCCCCCCCCCCCCGCCCATCCCAACCAACACACACCTTCAGCTCACAGTCCTCATTCACTGCCAGATTGCCAGGCTTCAGGTCCTGGGGGCACAAGAAAGGTGGGCGAGCAGCCCCTCCCACCACACCAGGGCCAGAGCCTGGACACCTGAATGTGGGGCAGCCAGACTCGGCCATCCCCACCCGGATGCCCTTCCAGGAAGGACAGAGGTACCCAGGCCCCCACAGCTGTGCATGAGCCTCGCACACACTCCCCACTGGTCCCATCTTGCCCCCTCACAGGCCAGCAGTGGAGGCTCCTGGCAGTCAGGCCCCTCCCACACCTACAGGCCACAGGAAGTTCCCACCCAGCACCAGGACTCACCCTGTGGATGATGCCAGCAGCATGGATGTACTATGGGGACAGACAGAGGGTCAGTGGCAGTCAGCTCTGGGACCTCAGAACCGCGGACGAGCAATCCCACCCTGGCCCCGGCCTGGCCTGGGGGGCTCTGCCCCTCCTGCAGCACCCCTGTGCGCTCCCACCTTTAGCCCCTTCAGCATCTGGTAGACAAGGAACTGGATTCGGTCCTCGCTCAGCTTCTCGTGCTTCATGAGTTTGCCCAGGTCGGTGCCCATGAACGGCATCACCAGGTAACTGCAGGGACCGGGGTGGGTGCGGACAGTGGGCATCACACCCCCTGGGCCTAGGCTCAGACCCTGGAGACCCTGGGGATCGCCTGGCAGCACCTTCTACCTTCCACAGTGCAGCACCAGGCTCCACCCACCTTCCCAACGCACACCTGCCCCAGAATGTCAGGTGGGTCAGGGCCGTGTTCTGGGGTTTCCTGCAGGGCCACATGGAGGCTAGGGTCTAGGGAGCACCAGGGATCACAGACAGAAGAGGGTGCAAGAGGAAGGAAGGAAGTGCCTGTGGGCAGGGGTGGGGACAGGAGGACACGTGGCTCAGAGGAGCAGGCTGGGCCTGTAGGTGGAGGGAGAGAGACACAGAGCAGAGACATTTAACACCTCGCCAGGACACTGAGGCCTATGTGTGTCCTCGACCTCTGCAAGGTCAGACGGCAAGGAGCCTGTCCTCAGCCCTTCCCAGGCTCAGCCCCCAGCCTTGGCCGACGACAGTATGAATCCAGGGATGGCAGCCACAGGCAGGCCCCCTGCCGCCCCTCCCCTGCCTGCCAGCAAAGGTCAGCAGCTCCAGTTACAAAGCCACATACTTGACGCCAGGGTCCCAGAGCACGGGGCCTGCTGGCTAACCGACGCAGGTCCAACGCTCACACCTCCAGCACTGGACAGCCCGTACCAAGCGTGGTCCAAGGAGGCCCGGGCTGCACCCAGCTGCGCCAGTGCCGTGGGTCCCAGGGGTGCGTGGCAGGGGGTGGACTGTGGTGTGGGGAAGGGGTGGGCAGTGTGCATCCCGACCCCGCTGGGCCGCAGGGACAGGCCCACATGCCAACACAGAACCCGAGTCAGCACCCAAGAGCAACCCAACACCCCTCTGCCCTGCCCAGCCCTCCCAGGACGGCACTCACAAGTCTGTGAAATCATCCAGGGTTTCGTCAGGAGTGAACACGTCCAGCAGCCCGATGACCTGGGGAGGAGGCCAGAGTGACAGGTGGGATGGGGGCACAGTGGAGGGCATGGGGGTTCAGGCAAACCCCCGAGGCTGGCACTGTGCTCTGAGCAGGAAAGCCCCCTACAGATATCCCCGTCCCTTCCCACTGTCCACAGGGCCTGGCTCTGTCTGTTGGCCACGCAACCCAGCACTGGCACCCATGCCCATAGACACAGGCTATTTTTGAGTGATGACCACAGGAATCCTCTGGGGGAGGGGCAGCCCCAAGTCTGGGTCAGCTCCCAGCCACCTTAGGAGCTCCAGCCCCTTGGCCCTTTGTCCCCCTCTTCCTGTCTCCATGGAAGACTCGAGACCAGGGTGGGACAGCCCTCCAGGGGAGTGCCAGCCCCCAGCAGGTCCACCAGGGAGCCTAGTTTCCGCTGGAGAGGCCCAGGCTGACAGCACCATGATCGAGCTGACAGCTAGACCCAGCCCCGCAGGTCCCTGGGCAGCTTGTACATCCTAGTGGCCAGAGGGGCAGCTGGATGTGCCAGGAGGGAGGACCCCTGGTATAGGCCATGCAAATGGGGGCCGAGGTAGAAGGGAGAACACTCCAAGCGTTTGAGGAACACGGGGAGAAAGGCCAGGTGGCCGAGGCCCAGGCCAGGGAGCAGCCAAGGAGAGGCCCGAGGGAGCCCAAGTAGGCCCTTGCATGCCAGGTGAAGGTTTGGCTTCGATCCTAAGGGCTGCCGAGAAAGGGTTTAAATAGGTGTGATGCTGAGTGAGTCCCTCTGTGTGCTGTATGGGGACAGACAGGAGTGAGGCAAGAGTGGACGCAAGGTGGAGGGACGGCTAGGTGGCCTTCAGAGCCGCCAGCCAGAGCCATGGGGAGAGGGAAGGAGAGGACAGAGAGGGAGGTCCAGTGAGGGCCTGGAGGCAGGCAAGTACTAGGGAATGAGGACAGTGTCTTTGCAAGAAGAGGACAGAGGACAGGGTCCCCAAGTGTAAGGAGGGTCCATCAGGTTGATGGAGACTTCCGTACCTCTGCGGCGTGGATTCTGGCCTAAAGTGCAGGGAAGGAGAGGGAGAAGGCCCGAAGCGTGGGTGGAAGGGTGGGACCCGCCATGGCACCCAGCCCCTCATAGCCTCAGTGTTCTTGTAGGAAAATGGGTTTACGATGGGCTGAGCCTCCTAGCTGCGTGCAGGCACCATGCAGGCAGTGGCAGCTGGCTGCTAGCGGGTTGGGAGCTCAGCTGGGAAGGCACAGAGGGGGGGGGTTGGGCCAGGGGGCCCAGCAACTGAAGGAAAGCCCTGAGACCTTGGGGAATGGGCAGGGCAGGCAGGAGAGGGGGGCAGTTGGGGAGGAGTATGCAGCCTTGAGGAGATGGGTCTGCCTTCATGGGAACCAACCTGGGCATGACTGGGTGTAACCAGAAGGTAGGGAGGGCAGCGCTGGGCTGCTGTCCGTCCCAAATGGATTCTGCCCCCGTCCCCCCGCCCCCCCCCCGGGAAGGGCCAAGGGCAGAGAGGGAAAGTCAGAGTGAATGAAGGACCCAGTGTCAAGGGGACAAGTTTCCTGGTGGACGTGGGACTCGTTTTCCCCGAAGGAGGCTGGTGGCTCTGATGACCCAGGAGGGGCCAGACCATCAGGAGCATGATTAGCCCAGGGTCTGAGTACTCACACCAGCAGTCCAAACTAGGGGTGAGGCAGGAATGGCTGGTGTGGGAGGGACAGAGTTCAGGGCCACAGGAAGAACACTGAGAAGCAACAGGGGCTCCCCTAGGAGAGAGAAGGGATCCAGACCTGCCCTCTCCCGGCACAGAAGGAGGCGTCTCTGCGCTGGCCACTGCCTAGTGCCCTCCACACGCCAGCTCTGTAAACCCCATCACCACCGGACACCCCAGGGCTCTGAGGTGACAATGCCGGCATGCCAACTCCTGCTCGGTGACTAGCTCTGCACCCCTGAACCGAGGCTGGGGCGGTGGACTGGAGCAGACTGCGCAGGACAGGGACCCCACGGGTGCAGAAGGGGGCCTGGGGCGCAGCTATGGAGGACGCCTGGGGAGAGGGAAGAGGCTGGTGCCTCTAGGATGACTGTGTCCTCTCTCACCTCCAGGCTCCGGCTGGGGGCAGGGTTGGGGTGAGGCCTGGAGGATGCCCTTGGCCTGGGCAAGCCACCGTCCCCTGACTGGGATCTGGGTTGAGGAGCCAGATGTGGCCCCAGGAACGAGCCAAGGAGCTAAGCCCTTGGCAGGGCCTGGCCTAGCAGGGAGGACTGGAGCCTGGGGAAGCAGTCTCTCTCAGAAAGGGGGCGGGGGGGCCTGCCCTCAGCACGTGGAGCCCCACCAGCATCGTGGCGCACCTGATCCCGCACCTCTGCCCTGCCACATGGGCGGGGTCGCCCAGGGGCTGGGTACCAGGGCCTCAGCCTCCCAGGGCAGGACTTGCACGGATGGACGAGGAGGCCCTGAGCCCAGCTGAGCGGGGACCAGCGCGACTCACGTTCTCGTGACGCATGTGCTTGAGGAGGCGAAGCTCGCGGTAGGCGCGCTTGGCGAACAGCTCGGACTGGAAGGGCCGGTACAGCTTCTTGATGGCCACCTTGGCACCGGTGCGGCTGTCCACGGCCGAGCTGCGGGGCGCACCGCTGAGCCGGAGGCCGGCCCGCCCCCGCCCGGCCTGCGCTCACCCCGCCGCCCGCCGGCCGCCCCGCCCGGCCTGCGCTCACCACACGGCGCCATACGCGCCGGAGCCCACGGGCTGCAGGTCCTGGTACACGGCGCGCACCTCCCAGGCCGTCTTGGTCACCTCCTGGCGGTAAAAGCCCTTGCGGGCGGGCGGCGGGGAGCTCATGGCAGCCCCGGGCGCCGCCCCCCGCCGCAGACCCCGTGGGCGCTGCGCCCCGAGAACCGGTGTGTG